TGCTAAAAACCCCGGGAAGCCGGGCCCTATACTATATTAAAACGATTCTACTCCGAACCTAATACCCTATACTACCGAGTTTATACCGGCGTCAGAGCTGCCTTATAACCCGCCCCGTCGGAGCCCCCGATTCTAAAGAATATAAATAAAATTTAAAAGTTTAAATATGGAAGGAAGAAATAAATTGATTTAGCTGCCGAAGTACGGAAGGAAGAGATAAATTAATTTAAATAATAATATATAGGAAGGAGAGATAAATTATTTAAAATAATAATATACGTTCTTTCTTTCTTTTAACAAATAAGTATATTTATAATTTTAGTACTATAGTTTTATAGTTTTATAATTTATAATTCTTATATAGGGTATCTTATTTTAATAATTCATATTAGAGAATCGTAGCGGTATAATTATAATTCTATTAATATTTTATTTCAATTACGAAGGCGCTAACCTAATTTCTATTATTTAAAATAGTATTATCCTTACTAAATACCAGTCCTACGAAAGTACTTCGGACCTAATTTAAATTATTACTAATATAAAGAAATTGGATATAATATATTCTATTTCGGCCTTAATATCAGCCTAGGCTATAGTATTCTTAAGGGTACTAAAATACCGCATTACTTCAATACCGACCGAAGTATAATAGGAAAATTTAATAAGATATTAAATTTCATATTCGGTATTACCCGGGAATAAACAAAACTTTTAAGAATCGCGTTAATAGTAATATTCTTTTAAAGGAATACTAAAAGTAAAATACTAAAAAGCCTACACCTAAACTAAAATATAATAACGATTAATAATTTTAATAATAGTATTATACTATTATAAAATTAATATAATAATCGAAAATCGCAAAAGGAATATTATAATAATTATAAATTTATAATATCGCCAGTTTTTTTCTTAGTATTAATAATACCTTTTTCGAATTTTATTACCTCGTTAATAATATTGAAATATTCTATCAACTTATAGGTTTCAATAGTAATACGAGCGCGAATCTCCTAAATCTAAATAAATTTACCCGCTTCATCTTTCTTTTAGAATTCCGAGGCTTAAGTGATTATAGAAGTAACATTAATATTATTTCCGTCTATAAAAATAACGGCCTAACTACATTAATATTTCGTTATTAATTATAAAAATACTTTAAATAAATTTATTAAATCGTAATTCTACTTATATTTATAATGAAAATAATATTTCTTTTTCTTCACGAAGGGAAGACAATAAAAAATTTAACCAGCTCACTACCATCAACGGTCGCATATTTAGTAGCGTAGCGAAAGCAAATTATATAACTAAATCCCTTAACGGGAATAATATTAACATTAGGCTAAACACAATGGAATCTCGGCGGTATTTCGAAGAATTTTTATATAAAATAATAGGAACTTAAAATTTCAATAATAGAATAAATAAGTTTTAATATTAGGATACCCTAAAGTCGTAATAATTACTTTATAAGTGCGGAAGGACGAAAGAAAGTTTAAAGGTAAAGGGTAAAAAAGGAAGGAAAAAAACAGGGATAAGAAAACGCGAAGGAAGAAGGAAGAGGAATATACGACGAAAATTAAAGCCCGAACGTTACGTAATCTTATTTAAATCGGGGATAGCGCGCTTATATTCCATCGATTAAATAACGTTTTAGGGGGCAAGCAACGTAAGGACTATACCGAGACTTTAATATACACCCGCTATACGCGGGGCCTATACTATTATATCTTAAGTATTATAGTACTTTTCATTTTATGAACAATTAAAGTTAATTGCGTTTTAAAGCCGGGGGTATTATTACGGTATTAAATATTATACCGCTGAACCTTCAGCGTTCCGGCACCGTAACCCTACAATTCTCCAGTCGTATCTTATTTCGATTTATAGCATGTCTTCACCTAGTTTATATATATAGTTGAGGAGTAGAGTTTTTTCTACTCTCTTCTAATCTTCTTCTCTCCGTACAATAATACGTCTTCTCAAAGCCTTTGCTAGGTCGGTATCGTGACAAGTTGTAAGGCTTTTACTTTTATAATAAAAATTATACAAGAATAAAATGAATTAATAAAATTTAAAGACTACGTTTAGGTTAGTTATTTAGTTGGATACTAATTAACGAATATTTATAGGATCTAGAATCCCTATACTAATTTTATTATTATTATATGAAATATCGTATTTAATAAAGACGAAGTCTTCCTTAGTAGTAATATTAAAAAAATCTATAATGCCCTTAATATTTCCTTTAAAGAGTTGGCTGCACAATTAAGAGACTTTTATTAAATAAATATTGCGTAAATAGACGTCCTATAGGTCGAAGCTATACCTACTATAAATAACGGAGTTCTTAGCCCCGTTATCCAAGACTTTCCTACCGAAACCGAAAATATATTAGAAGAAAAAGAGGAATTAGGGTTTCTAAAAATATAAATATAATGTAAATTTTTAGAAGTCCTGTAAGTATTAAAGATACCGTTAGGTTTAGAAATACCGTAAGGGTCCTTAGAGCCTTTACTATCGCCGCCCGTATAATTACTATCGGATTTTTAAAATATAATTTTAAATTCGAAGGATAAAAAAGAGGGTTATTTCCCCATACTTTTTGAAAATTTAGCCGCGTTTTTAATAACTGACCTCTTTTATTTTAATGAAAAATTATAATTAATTATAAATTAATACTTTTATTAGGCTGCGTTATTTTTATTTGCAAAAGGGTAATCGATTTGTAGGCTTTTAGGGAAATAAGGTCGTAAACTAAACCTTCTTGGAATAAATAAGAAAAAGGAGTATCGATATTAATTCCAATTATAATTCGAAATGAAAAATAATAAGGGATATTATTAACCGCCATAGAATAAAGGGTATATTGAAGACCCTTTATCTAACTAATTTTCTACTTCTTCTAAAATATTATAGTAATTTTAATTCTTATTCCTTTAGGGAACTCTTCAAAGCTATAAAGAAGGAACACCTAGATAAATATGAGGATAAGAAGTTTTAGAAGTAGGTTAGTATCGAGGAAGTAGGAATAACGAAATATTCGGTTCGATATAGGTATATACTTATAAATTCAATTAAAACGGCCGGTTCTTTAAATATAAAGTACGTTTAATTATACATAGGAAGTAATAATTTAAGGATAGCGTATATAAAACGTACGTAGTAATTCTAATAATTAAATCGTTCTATATTTCAATAACTATAGCTACTTATTTTAACTTCGATTTAATTTAGTACAATATAAAGAACGCTTTTATTAATACTATACTCGATAAGGTAGTATTTATAAAGGTTCCCCTTAAGTATATTAGAAAAGGCTAAGTATTTTAACTACTATATACGTTATATAATCTACGGAAATCTCCCTTCCTTTAGTAGCAGGAATTTACTAAAATTTTCGTAATTATAAGTATAAACCTTTTCCCTATAGAACCTAATATCCTTATTAAAGATAACGTATTTTTCTTCTTTTACGTCGACGATATCGTTATTATTTATAAGTATAAGGATAAAGAGATTGCTATAATTAAAGAAGTAGTAGCCGCTATAGAGAAGAAGTATTAATTAATGGGTAGAGAACTATTGAAGTAGTTTTTAGGTATCGAGATTATTCGAAATTAAGAAGAAAAAGTAATTTAATTATTATAATATAATTATATTTAGAAGATTGCGGAGAAGGTTAAACGTACTATGAAATTATATTCTACGCCTATAGTTAAAGAAGAATTCCTACTTTATTAAAATAATATAATCCTATACGAAATTTATACGTATTAAATTAAATCGGTTCGATTTTTTATATTACTATTACGTTGCGACTAAACGTAGTTTTTCCGGTCTCCAAATTTACTTAATTCAATTTAAATCCCAATTTAGTATATTATACGGTTGTAAATTGAGTATTGTTTTACCTTCTTATAATTTAAAATTACGTCCTTCAATTAAGTAGTAAAGACCGTTAGAACTTCTACGTTATAATTGAAGGACGTAATTTTAAATAATTTTTCTAATCGAAAGAGTTTATAAGCGTTTATACTTAAACTCTTAGGCGCTATAGTCGATTAGCGAGCCAATAAACAAAACATAATCACGACCTCCTCTATAGAGGCCGAATTGTTATCCCTTAGCTAGGGAATTAAAGAGGCTATTTACATTCGCTATTTCTTTAACGAATTTACCTTAAGGTTTAAAAATTAAGAGGCTATACTTATAGGCTATAATAATAAATAAACGATATGATTTATTGTAAAAGAAGGAGTTCAGTTCATAATTAAATTCAAGTACGTTAATATATATAAATATTAGTTAAAGTAAACATAAGAGAGGAAATTAGTAGACGTAGTCTATATACTAACTAAGGAATAAATTGTAAATAGCTTTACCAAAAGCTTTCTTCCCATAGTATATTTAAAGTTTATAGAGTAATTGGGACTTATAGAGCTATAGCAGCTATAAATTCAATTGCAAGAATTTAGTAGTAGAGATATCGTTATAGGCCGTTCGAAGGGTATAGAGAATTTTATAAAGGAGGATTCGGGTAACGAATCAGTAAGTATAATAGTAAATGTAGTAGGGTAAAACTTTTATGAATGATAGCTTAAAAGCTACTATAACGAGAAAGTAATTTGGGAATAGCATTATTTTTAGCTAGTTTTAGAAGAATTTTAGGGTATTTTAGGGTATATTTGGGTAGATTTAGTGTAGTTTGTACACTAGATTTAAGGGGGTATGTTAGAGGTTAGGAGATTTATTGGCTGTGTACGTGCCCAGCTAGACTGGGATATGTAGGGTTTTTACTTAGATGCTAGAGCTTTAAGTCTGTAGAGCCAGTCTTATACACATATATATAATCAAGCTACGTTGAACCCCATATCGATTATTACCTATAATATCACATATGACGGCCCTGGTTCGGGCGTTTGTTGGTCTGTGCTTTCCGACTTTCAGCGACGCGACGAACGGAGCAACACCTGTGACTTCACTATCACAACTCTAGGACAGGAAGGAGCTCCAAGACTTGCAGAAAGCGCTTCTCCAGGCAGAAGGAAGGCAAAGACTCCCTTGGGGAAAGAAGCAAGACGCTGAGGAAGGTACAGAACTCAACCAAGACAGGAAGAAAGTCCTGGAAGCAAGGTGGGGGACGAAGAATTTGGCGTATATATTCTGGGCTCCCCAGCTCTGTTTGACCCGTTCGTTTTCATCTCCATAATCATCAAACAAGCATTTCAATCTCTGAGGATCCGCCATTCACTACACATATCTCCGTCTCTCTATAAAATCCCTTCTCCCTTCGACCTTTTTCCTCTGCTCAAGCTTCACTTTTCCTCACTCGACACGCTCTCTTTCAGTCTCCACATCCCACGGGTTGCACAGCACCAGCGACATTTCAGCAACACGGTCTTCTTTCCTCCTCCGACCTCTCATCTCTAGGTGTTCCCGATCAAGTCTTTGTAGACATGATGGAGCAGCAACTTTCTGACTTCAAACTGATGAGGCCCAAGCTCACGATCATCCATCAGCCTTCCGCCAGTAGCATAGTTTTCCTACCCATAAGGCTCTCGTTCAGGCATTGTTCCTTGTCGACATTACCTTGGGGCTCGGTCTTCTTCCCAGTGCAGTTTCGTCATCAGCACCGCAGGGCATCGACTCTAGTCTGCGCAGACTCCTCCAATATCGTATGTCTGCTCTCACACCGCACATCACTCGTTTGCGCTGGAAACTAACCTCGGTCTCACATCCAGATCAGTGCTGCGAAAATCGACCACCTGGTAGCTGAGCACAGAAACGAGTCGCTCGACAGCCTGGTGTCTCTCATGCGCATCAATGCCGACCAGAGGGCAGCATATGTCGGCAGGCCGCGCTAGTCTTCAACCTGCACATATGCGGCTCCTCCATCTGACACCTTCGCCTGTTCAACCTGTCGGCCCAGACACCTCATCAAGGCCAAGGATGGCGATCTTCCCGGCACCAACAGAGACAAGAAGCGCCCCTGCATCCGCCTGTCCCTTGTCTGTCCTTGCCCCTCCTCAACCAGCACTGTCGCGCAGTTCCCCCTATCGCGCAGTCTCGCTGGTCGTTTCAAACCATCTTCCAGCACCGTCCTCACCTCGCATCATTTGTGAGGGCGGCGAAGTCGGCCTCTGCACCTCCACGCGGTGCCGCCCGGGAACCTGAATGCTGATTCCACCTTTTCGCGCCAAGTTACTCACGCCCATGTTCGCGAAAACGACTAGATACTCCTTCGACAGCATTCAGAGCAAACGCAGAGACGCAACCCTAAGTCTTGTCGCGGCCACAATGACGGACTGATCACCCGACTCACAGGCCGGATGGATCCTCCGACAGGACTACCCCGGGGAAGTTTGATGAGAGCAGAGGCGATCGTACCCTCTTACCTCTCCTTTCACAGGCGACCCCACCCCTCCGATTGTGTTGAAAACCACAGTTGGGCAGGAGTTTGGTCCTTGAAGTAGCTGATGTGCAAAGTGTCTTTCCGCAGCTATGATCATACTCCTGTTATCGGCCGTCGCCGAGGGTGCTCACATGCAACACGCAGATTGCAGGCTGGAAACAGCTATCTAATGTATTCTGCGTTGATCATCTGGATGAGACCAAAGACACCGAACATAACGAACTCCGTACATACAACCTCCGGTGTCCAAGTGTCTTGGCCCGGGGCTCGGGCGCCATTCTTTTTTAAAGTTTTTGCGGATGGCGCCTGGGTCTGATGACGATGGGCTCCAGGTCTGTCGTTGTCTTTCTCTCGGGGCACGCCAGGCGTGTTTTGAGAATGAGGTGTGCCGCTGTGTATGAGCTGGGCGGGTTCGATTCCTGTTTCTTTGGGCCCTAGTTTGGAGGGACGGCTAACACGGCACCACTGCCTTGCGACCTTGATGGCTATCCTTCACCAGGTGAGGGATAGGCCGATCGTGGTGCGCAGAAAAAAATGGACTTGCAAAAATCACCCAAAGATGTCATGTGTTTTCCTGGAGGGTTTGGCAGCTTGATGTGGACGGAAGTGTTGGACCTGTTGGGGTTTTGGCGGAGAGGTTGTATCGTTGATGGTGTATCAGTCTTGGTGTGTCTGTAGAGTAACTCTGTTAGCGTGCTGGCCGACAGAAGATATTTGAGGGCTCATCGGGCTGGGTGTCAATGTCGATGTGACCAACCAGGCCTTCTGGAAGCACAATATCATCAGATAGCTATGGCGATTAGCCTGCCACCCAATTTCAAACTCAAATTACATCTGGTGCTCGACAATCTTGCCGTGCCCTCTGATCTACCTTGAGATGTAGTTGACATTCGCTTTCTTGTCCCGTCCCGTGCGATCTTAAGTTTGCACAAGTATGTGAGAGCCAAAATCCAGCTACTTGTAGATTCTTTGAAAAGCATAAAAGGGACCCTGGTGCTGCCTGCTCAAACTCCAAAACTTAGCCAGCTAGGGAGGCTCTCACGATACCGGATTTTCGTATCGCAAACTCATATCGCCAGAACAACTAAAACATTACCTTTGAACCCATGCCCACCATCCCAAATGCCCTATCCAGTTCCTCCCCTTGATCCGGCACCGCCATCTCACTTGGTCCCCCATTTCCTTGCCCCCCATAACCAGCCGGCCCCAATCCAAACCCGTGCCCGCCGAACCTTTGAGTCAACCCAGCAATACCCCCATCCTTCCCCCCATTTCCTCCCTGCTGCTCGTCCCCCTCACCATCTTGCGCATCCAACAAACTCCCTCCATTCCCTCCCTTGGAGTTCCCACCCTTCCGCTCCGGCTCCAACAACCTAGCCTCACTATCCAACCACCCCGGCGCCACCCGTCTCTTCTCGGCCAACTCCCTCTTCTTGATTCTCTCCTCCAGAGCTTTGAGTTCTGCGCCCGCGTCAGATTGTAACTTGGCGACGTGCGCTTGTAGAGCCTGACAGGAGGCGATGATGTCGTCTGGGTGGGCGGCGTGGCCGGAGGTGGGGGAGATGATGTATTTTGGTTTGTTGTTAGATGATGAGGATGTTGTTGGGTCGCTGCCGCCTTCGGAGTGTTGGGGGTTGTTGATGCCGACGCCGGATGTGGAGGGTGGTAGGGCGCTTGGCATCGGCTTGTAGGTGTAGGGTAAAGTGGCGGAGGAGGGGAGGGAGACGAAGGGGGAGACGGTTAGGGGGAGTTGTTGGAGGAGGGGGTGGGTTCCTGGGTTGGGAGGGGTGGTTAGTTATGGGATATTTGGGGGGAAAGGATGGGGAAGGGAGAGGAAGGGGAGGAGGTGGAGGTGGAGGTGGGTTGGGGACTGGGAACTTACGGTTGTCGTGCATTTTGAAGGATTGTGGTGGTTGTGGTGAGGGAAGGCTGTAAGGCTGAGAGGGTGGAAGTGGTGTTTTGGATGGAGGAGGACCTTGAGGACTGGGACGAGGATGCCTGGTGGATGGACAGAGCGCCTCGGGTGCCGTGTATCTGAGGGGTTAGGCGTGGTATTTTAGAGTCAAGACGATTATATATCGACTGGAAGGACACAGATACGACCGTGAGCCTGGTTCGAGGATCTCGTTCGAAATGAGGAGCGAAGTGAACGTTGTTGAACTTGGATGCGCGGGGATGTTCTGGTGCAGTTTGGAGTCAGCGATGATGAATGGCATGGAGCTGCAGGGGTCATTCCACAGCGGGAACGATAAGCTGATAAGCCCCATAATGAAGCAATTCGACCCCACTAAAAATCGCCCAGAGCTTCTGGAGCTCCAGCTTCAACTTACAAGCTTGTCGCGTCTGTAGCACCGTAACTTGTACGTAATTTCAACAAAACATAACAAAACATTCAATATGGCACCTACCACGATTCGGACGCCGCCCGCTCTCACGGACTTCAAGCCTCTTGAAGAGCATCTCCAGCAAACCCCCGAGACATTCTTCGGCGGAAAGCCCGTCCTCTACTACCATGTGACCGGCGCAAAGGCCTGGATCCCCAAGTCGCAACGCGGCAGGCTGCCTTTCTTTCCGGCCGACCTGGAGGCCGAACCTACAGCTCCTGAGGGCGCGGCCTTGAGCGAGGGTGCCGAGGAAACTGTTGAGCAGAAAGTCGATCTCTACGTCAACTCCCAGTACGTCCATTTGCTCTCGAGCCGTCAAGGTCCTCACGCGCTTGAACAGAAGCTAATCAGATCCCACCTCTCACAGAAACCTCACAATATTCTCCCCTTCCGCCGAAGTCGGTTTCGAGATTCCCTACCCCGTGATTAGCATTCACGCGATCAAGACCATCGGCACCGGCGAAACCAAGTACCCCTCCGTCTTCCTGCAGCTTGAGCTCTCCCCCGACGGCGGCGCCGACGACGACGACTTCGAGACCGTTGAACTCACCCTCACCCCCCCACCCGCTCATGCAGGTACTACTACTGCTCCTGCCGCCGAAACCCTAGCCGAAACGGAGGAGGAACCAACAATCGGCAAGAAACAACCCGATAACGAAGCTACAAAACTCTTCAAGGCCATCACCGCTTGCTCTGACCTGAACCCCGATCCCGTCGAGGAAGACGACGAAGACGATGAGTACGACGATGATAGGATAGTTTTTGAGGGTGATGCCATCGAAGGGTTCCAGGGCGTGTTTGCGGGGTCGAACTCGGGAGGTCTGCCGCCGCCGATGCCTGGTAGTTCCGGGTGGATCACGGCGGAGAACGTACACGAGTACTTCGATGAGCAGGGGAACTGGATTGGTGGTGATGAGGAGGTTGAGGTTGAGATCGAAGGAGAGGAAGAGGGTGGTGTAAGTGGAGAGCTTGGTGAGGGTGCTGGTACCGTGAGGAGGAGAGAGGATGTGGAGGATCCAGCTGGCGGTGGAGAGGAGAAGGAAGAGCAAGGAGAGAGCAAGAGGGCGAGGATTGACTAGGGAACCTAAGAGCAAGTGAGAGAAAGGATGAAAGCAGTGGACACATCGTACGCTTGCCTTGTTGGAGAGGACTCGGCTGAGACTATATACAATCCTGCACTCAGACCCATGTTGTCAGGCATTTCAGAGGAGTGTGTAGGAAAATTGTAAAGCTACGGTCTATGGATACTTGAAAATAGAAAGTGGTATCTGTACCCGCTGGTTCGGGTTCTTGACCAACGCGTGACGCACTTCTATGCTACTGGCGATCGTCGGGCCCAAACAACGGAAGCCATAGAACCTCCTTTCTCTGGCGCTTGGTGCCAATCTGGAGAAAAGACCGAAACGAAACAAGGTGTGTAAAAATTCTCGATCAGCGCGTGTCTAGCCAAGGAACAAAACAGCACGGAAGGGGCAAAGGAGCGAGAAGCCTGGAGTCTGAAAGGGCGTTTTAGCCCAGGCGATTATACCTGACCCAACTCAGTGTTGAAATGCTGTGGTAGACAAACGGCAAAGCACTTGAAGCAGGGCAGGCCGCTGCCTCGTGACATTTGACGTCGGTGTTACATAACAGGGACATCCACAAGCCTTTCCGATCATGGACCTTCAAGAACTTCTCCAATTCTTTTCCTTTCTTCTCTTTTCCCCCTCTCCCATACATCATTTCGATTCTGGCCTGCTCAGTTCCAACACCATCCGTCTTTCTAACCAGTGTACTGGTTTGGAAGAACACTTCGACTTCTGTCACGGTTGGATTGCACATCCTCCTCTGCAGACACTCTTCTTACCCTTTCTTCTTCGCTCTTTGCCCACTTGTCCGTGTTCTGAGGTTCATTGCCTAAGCGATCACCTCACAAACAATCTCGACCTTCACTATGATACTGTTCAGGTTGGTTTATTACTTCGGGCCGTCCATCCTTCACGCTCACCCGGCTCACCCGGCTCACCATCATCCACGCAGCAGGCCTTCAGAGCCTTTCTGCAAGGCTGGTTGGAGTCAACTGCACGTTCTCCAAACACCATGCTCTGCATTGTTGTTTTTAAGAATATGACTAACAAGCCGACAGATTATGAACTTATCAGTGCTGTCCTCGCTCCGCCCCTCCTCATCCGTCGTCTTCGGACCCCCCTTTTTCTCGGCGCAGACTCAGCGGCAGACGTCTCTTATTTCGAGGTGCAACGATGGTTCAACCGACCGTAAGGAGTTTTGTATTCTTCTATATGTTACCGTGAGTATCACCTGGTGCCCTTTAGCTATTGTTGCAACACCCTCTTTCTTGTAGAGAATGGGAAGAAAAATCGAGGGACATCCAAAACTCCGAGGGACACATCAGTTCTGTATGGCATTTACTACGGTGGTCGGAATGTTAATGCAGCGCATGCCAGGCCCAGACCTCAGATCAAGCAGCTCAAAACCGTTAACACTCTCACTCTAGAGCCCCATACAGTACTGCCTGTCCCCCAATTTTTGGGTGTCCCTCAATTCTTCTTCCCATTCTCTGCTTTGCGACAAGCGACCAGTCCACCTCACTCTCACGGTTGTCCACCTGTGGCATGTGCAGTCGGGCGTCACCCGCCCACTACCGAACTACAGGATTTATTCCAGACCAGGCGTGGCGCTCCCTCCCCTCAATTTTTCTTTCAGAAGACAATCTTCCCCATGCTTGCCTTCTTCTTTTTATGCTCACACCGTGACCCAAGGTACTTCCCTCCCAACCCCCCCGCGCGCGCCTCCCCACCTCTTCTGTGCAGAAACTTGCGCCGACGTGGCAATGACTAACAATAGTACTTCTAGGGCTTCTAGGGCATGGAGGGCTGCACAAAAGTTCTCCTACTACAGCGCCAACAAGGGAGAGAAGTGCTCAAGCAGCCTTTGACTCTGTGGATAAAGACCAGTCATTCCATGCATTTTCTTCCAGTGGCGAGAGTTCGGTAAGTCCACAAGAACCTGGTATCTTACCTAAACAACAGTCTTTCTGTCACTTACAAATGTTTACCAGCTTGGGAAACTCCTCTGGCCGCTGTCTGTACCATGAGATTACGCAGTGGGGTACTATGCAACCAAAGGGCCCATCATGGCACAGGCGTATCAACTCGAAAAAAGGCCAGAGAGCCCATCAAGGACTCAAACAGGACATTTGATGCGCTATCGCGTACCAATGGCCTACAGTCAGCACCTGAGCATGAAAAGCGTCAATAGCTACGGCACCAACTCCATGAAGGTACCCACTTGTCCGTCGAGCATCGACATGGCGGCGAACTTGGCCAACGCGTGTCAAGGACAACACAGCTTGACAGTTGGCAACAGTCACGGCGGTGAGCCCAGTGCTGCGCATCGGATACCATGCTGGGTGTTGGAAGAATTCTTGCCATCTCTCCAGGTACCTTGAGTGGAGAGGGCGTCGACGAGACTAGCATCGAGTCACCGCATTCTGACTCGGATCTACCTGGCGAGCCATGTCAAGTGCTTGCTTCTCGACTATCTCACAGTTTTCTCCGCCATATCAACCTATCAAGCCAGTCTCCCACTTGCGATAACGTCAGAGAAAAAATCATGCAACCACGTTTCCTATCGACCTTTGCTCCCGCACACACATGTTACGGCAGTTGGCCTTGCTCACCTTATCTCTCGCTTTCTTCCCCATCTTTTCCCCTGGCCGTCGACGCACCAAAGCCAAAACATCCTTTTCATACCAACAAAAACAAGCCCTATGGCCGCATAGACAGACGGCCGTCACCCGCAGTAGGAACCACGATGACGACGACGACGACGAACTCTAGGATCGATCATACTTAGGCAGTCCCCCGACATGCCACTTCCTTCCGAAACAAACAGAAGCACGACAACCGAGCTGCAGGACACACCCTGGAGCCGAGCCGTAGACGCGATGGAGTCCACTCCACGCCGCCTTCCACCCACCTCGAACCTAAGCAGAATGCGGTCACGCCGAGAGATGGGATGATCATACAGAGGGCGCCAGTGACGGCGAGTCAACCGGTAAGAACAAGTTCTTTTTGTTTTATTCAAGGAACCTGTTCAAGGTCTGGCATGTGACAGGCATCTAGCCCGCGCAATTGAACCGTTCCCATCCAGGTTCACTGCTTCCAGTTGAGGCTCTTACCGGCCTGGCCTTCGGAAGCAGAAAACACAGGCTTAAGGGAGATGTCATGTATTACGGAGTAAGATACAGTACTCGGATGCCGCCATGGTCTACTTCTCCTTGTAGAACAAGCTCTTAGCCCTGTTTTCCTGCCCCAAGGTAGCATGTTCAACTCGATGTTTTTTTTTCCTTTTCTTCTCTTTTCTTTTTTGTTCAATTCTTTTCTTTTTTTTCTTTATTTCTTTTCTTTATTTTTTTTTTCTTTATTTTTTTTCTTACCTCCGCGAAACAGAACCACCTCTTCTCTACTCACAACTTCGCCACCACAACGGCAAATTCTCCATACGCTAAGCCGAGTGTCGTTCGGAAGGATTTGGCATTCGAGCAAGCTCCGTACTGGCCGTTACCATGGCATTACTCTTCTGGCACTCACTCTCCTTTTTCAATTTCGAGCAAGCTGCTTGTCTTCCCCTTTAATCTCTCTTTCTGCCGTTACTTTTCTGTGCCGTTCAATTCTCTAGAAGACACAACAGGTGTGTGTACCTTTTCTCCTATATACATATCTTCCGTACCAGAAAGTGCCTTCTCGACACCCTTAACCCTACGATACGGCGCATACCTACCGACGCTAGTGCCGACGACCGCTCGATCTCCTCCGTTCCTCGAATGATGAAGAGAAAGGACAAGGAAAAACAAACCAAGAAGAAACAAAACATACCTCTACCCGTTGATGTGAGGGAGACTCTATCTTTCACTCCAACTCAACTTCGCAGAAACCACTCTACGAAGTAGAGTCAGGGTGACAGACAGAGACCTTCTCACACAAATGGGTAAAGATAGATGGAACAAAGAAATAATCGAAAGAGGCATTCTGAAAACCTATTGTCTTCTCCATAGACATTCAGGTTGCAACATTGCCTCAACAAACGAAGGATGTAACAGTTCAAGCCCTTTTTTGTAGGTTTTCATTTCCTTCGTCGTCATCTCTTCGTTGTTGAAATCTCTGGTTCCATTCTCATGACCCTTCCGTTCCTGTTTCTCTAGCTAGAGAGGTAGGTAGAATCATCTTAAACTTCCCATCTGGTGATGTAGTTGGCAAGATCTAGATGACAGGAATGTTCCCTTGACTCCAAACGAAGCGGGACATTCCTGACATAGGACATCTCCATCGCACCTACTCTATAAACATAGCATAGCTGGCGTCCTGGCAGCCGCGTTCGTCTGACCAATGTGAGCTCGTCTATAGAGAACGGTCATTGTCTGATTCTCGTCAGACATGACTCTTGGTCCAGACATCATTTTCAATACATTCCTTCTTCCATGAGGCTTATGACTGGTTCCGGACTGAAATCAACGTCTCAAGTGACCCTCAAAGACCGGTAGCCCGTATTTTAATCTCTTCCAAGCTACATGCCCAAATAAGGTTACCCTTTCACAGCCGTTAAGGACTAGAAAGACAAACAAGTGCACAGTGTCTTTGTCCGGCTTCCCCTTCTCCTTATTATCAACAGACTTCCTGGATTTTATTTTCTTATTCCCGGACTTCACAAACCTCACCGGATAATCCATCGCCTCCCAGAAACATGACACGTAGCTCTCAGTACTGTTGAGTACCTGGACCAGGGTCCTCATATGGAGAGGAAAGGGGGGGGGAGGGAGAGAAGAGAACGAAGAGGAGGAGAGAGAGGAGGAGGAGGGAGGGAGAGGGGGGAGAGGAGAGGAGTGGAAGGAGAAGAGGAAGAGGGGGGAAGAAGAGAGAGAGGGGGCGGAGGGAAGCTCGACACCCAGGACGCCCCAAGAACCTTCTGAACGCCACCAGGACTTTTGGCAGACCACCTGCAACACTGCCCTCTTTTCTCGACAAACTCAGTCAAAGGCAGCTTGCCCCCGTGGAAGCAAGGCCATGCATTCCACCTATCTCCAATGTAGGGTCCAGACCCAAGTTCAGGATCGAAGCATCATGAGTATGCCGGGAGAGCCCAGGTTCGGGCTTCTCTCTACATGACAGGTCGCTGTCGACGACTCTATCAAGACACAAGGGAAGAAGAAGATTATGGAGGTAAACGGCGGCAGTCAAGCAAGACCCCAACTGGATGCTGTCGGAGGCTGTGGG